ATTGTTACTTAGCACGTAATAATGGAAACTGGGGCGTAGTGGTTTAAGTGGTCGCCACGCCGCTTCCTACTCCGACGAGTTTTGTGGGTTCAAACCCCACATGGGACAACACTTTGTGTGATCCACAAATTGTTGTTCTGAGTCTGGGTGTTCTTTGTGACCATTTCATGTATGTTTGTAAAGTCAGCGACACAGAAATATATATTCCTAATGCGGGCGTTCTTTAAAAGAAAAAATAAAAAAAATATGAACTCAGTAGGTAAACATTAAATGTGGCGTTGTTTAGGCCGATTGTGTAAAAATGTTTTTTTTTTTTTTTTTTTTTTTTTTTTTTAGTTATTGCATTTATAGTCCCATACACTTTTTACAATTATCTACGTCCCACGTCTACTGGTGTTAGTTTTGTAAATACATAAACTTATTCATAAAGTAAAAGAAAATTTATCACTTCCATTCGATTTAATTATAGATTAATTGTAATAAGCTGTAATTTGTTTTCCTCATTCCACCCTTAGTAGTGGAATAGTGTCAATGGTGTAATTTGTTGAGAAATGTTAAAGGGTGCTTAGCGTATGCGCAGCGTTCCTATCTCGCGATGGCGCGCAGTGAGAGGAGTTTCAGGAGGAATGTACATGGCTGGAAGGTTTCCCCCTCACTTTGCCAGGTGATATTGGCCAAAGAGGCAGCAGGGAACGTGAGAGACCGAATAATATTTCTTGTATCGCAAAAACGTATCAGGAGGTCGATAATGCAAAACTGTCCTCGGATTCGATCTCAGAATTAACGTTAAACGGTGGTGCGACGTGTTCTGCATCTTACAGAATCCAAACAACGGCAACACCCTACGCTCTTTACTCTATACTATGTTTGCCAACGCCAACAAGCCAAATCTGTCGAGATTATAGTGATTTCCACTATAGAATTACTTGAGACATCAGCAATTACTACACCGTTATGGAAGTTTGATAAGGTGATGGCCCGTGGGGATTGCCACGCGTCAAAAACAAGGCCCCATCGTTACCTATCATCATAACGTATGCGTACCAACGCATAATGTATTATGTGCACCGACGCGACAACGTGACGAGATCGTATCGTAAAGTATAAATAAACCCCCGTTACGACACGTAAACTGGTGAAAATCCTTTGTGTTAAAATAAATGTAAGGACACGTTTCCCATATATTAACTTTTGTTGTCATTAAACAGCTGTAATTGTGACTCTGGACGAACAATTGTTGTACAGTTTGTTATAATGACCATTAATAAACATAGCAATAAGACAATAGAAATAATTTTCTTTAAAAAAAAGTGTAACCGACTTTAATGTGTCTAAATGGTGGCAAAATCAAATAAGTTGTATTCTAGGTAGAATATATTTTCACATTTTAATGCTGGCAACTTTATTATAATTTATATTATTTTAAAAAGTAGCCAATTGTAAATGAAATCGATTTATAGTTAATTGATCTCATGAAAATGATTGAATTGGGCGCTTCTTCTAAAATGAAATGTCATAGTGAAATAATGATTCCAAAATCTAATTATCCTATTATGACAATTAATTGAAACACACAACAAAACACTCCTGATTCTTGAGGTACTTTCTGGAGGTAAAATATACGTATTAATTAACAATCAATACTTCGTCCTTTTCTTTTGACTTGTCTTAAAACGATTACAGTTCTAAGAGTGGTTGGCATCAAACAGACCATAAAAGAATCAGGCAAAACGTTTTGCAATATTACAGATTGCGCCGACATCAAAATAAATTTTAAAAAGGATTGAAAGTTGACGAAACCTAATTATCACACTGTTTACAGAAAACTTTGAACAAATAGATGGATATAACTACGTAACTCAAAGCCGGGATAGGGCCTAGTTAGGCGCGACAACGAACCAGCGGAAACCTGAAATCACATGGTTCGGGCCTCCCTAGAGTAAGAGCCCTGAGGCCGAGAGTCAGGGTGGTCCTGATGGCGTCTTCAAGGAAGGTCACATTTTCGCTCCCGTCAACAAACAAATACATAAAGGATCACTACTGAAAGCACAATACACTATTTCATAATTATTTATTTTAGGTTAATATTATTAGTTTTTATGTTTTTTTACTCGGCGTTTTCTAGCTTTATATAACAAAACGTCTATCGTGAAATTGTTTAAAAATTTAATGTAAATCAAATATAAAGTAAAAAAGCTATCGACTTTACCAATAAATAAATAAATTACACAGCATTGTCTTGCCTTAAACTAAGCGTATACTATAAGTTTCTAGAACATGGAGAATTTAATAAATTATTTTCATAAACACACACTTTATACTCATAGGTATAATAATAATAATATTATAACACATTCACACAACGCCATCTAGTCCCAAACTAAGCAAAGCGTGTACTATTTGTACTAGACAACTGATATAAATACATAAATATACTTTTTTTCTGTAAATACATAGAAACACCCAGACCAAATCAAAAATTAAATATTCATGCACACAAATGTTTGACTTGAGCTCAAATCGAACCCGCGACGTTTGGAATGGCAGTTCGTTACGCAAACCACTACGCCATTCGGTCGTCGAATATACAAATTTATGTATTTTAAGCACTTTGTCCTGGTTTTACTCTAACAATCTCAGGGTGATTTGGATCACCATGGCCCCTTACAATATATACTATTTGAGCTCCGTCATTTAAGAAATTAGTAATTTGTTCAGGCCTTTTAACATAGAAATTGTGCTTATAATCAAATTCATAATCTTCTAGATTAATATTGTTAACAGCTGTGTTTGTTTCAAAATTCAAATCATTTTGGTTAGGGAAAAATTTTACTTTGTGCGTTCTAATAAAATCTCTTCTTTTGTCTCTTTCTGTATCGTCTGTTGGTCCTCTTTCATCTGGGAACTTTAATGGGTAACCTCCTCGCTCACCAAAAGCTTCTCTTTCTGCTGTATTTGTTGTAAATATCTGTTTTCTTGGTCTCCTTCTTTTATCGTTTGCTTCATCAGGGAAAGTCCACTTAGAACCATCTTCCGTATTCTCTTCGTCATCAATATCTATGCTTGGTTTATTTTGTATACGTTCTTGTACATCGTCTGTTTCTTTTAAACTGATATATCCTCTGTTATCTATTCGACGATAATTATTAGGATCATTACTGTTTCCATACGGGTTCTGGTTACCGTAGCCATAAGTATTCGCATAGTTTTGTTGTTGGGTTTGTTGTTGTCCAGTCTGTCCCGCTAAATGATTGTAGAATTGTTCCAAATTCTGCTGTTTCTGTGGACCTGGTTGCCCAAAGAATCTGAAGAACCCTCCGTTATGGTTGTTCAAATAGTTCACTAGTTCTGTAGGGTCTCTAGGACACTGGGGGTAAGCACGGTGGCAGGATATGGTGTTGCCTGTGGATGTCATACCGAGGACAGCCGCACGTCCAAAAAGAAAAAGTGGAGATGAACTCACGCTGTTGTATGATTGGAGAATACTGAAAAAGTAAAGAAAATATGTATTGATGAAATTAAATTGTAATCATGTGTGTACTTTCGGACATTCGATCGGTTTGGGCACTTAATTAAGGGGTCAAGTGGTCTCCCGCGTCGGTGGCAGTCATCTGTTTAGAATCTTATTATTAGTATTAAGAAAATAAATGTACAAACACACTCACGTCTTTATTTCCAAAAAGGGTAGACAGAAACATTAAAACACAGATAAACAGTTATTAAAAACGCACACATTTGACGATTAGTTACAATTTTAGTTCCACTTAATAGGTGGCTTATTGCCACCAATCGGGCACATTTACACATATATGTATCTAAATAATACATAACAAATAACCGTGCTCATCACACAATATTTATCGTGGGAGGATATCGAAGACACGACCTTTAGCTTAGCAGTTAGGGTCACTCTCTCCGTCACCACCAGCCCAGACAAGTAAAAAGAATAGTTAAAAAAAACTACTTAACTAACACTGATTTTAACTATTCATACATTTTATGGAAGTTTACTCTCAGAGCTAAGGACACAGTAACGGGGCAGTATTTTTTTACCAGGGCAACATCTCAGTTCAGTAGTTTGTTTTAAACATAGAGATATAACCAGAACAAGAGCCCCAATCTTGCAATATAGACAACGAGAGAGTTGGATAAATAATAATAATGTTGGACGGCTAGATCAAGGGTCTGATGCAGAAGACAGTCCTCCTTGACACGACTCGTATAGCGAGGAGGTTCCTATTTTTGGAGTCCTAACCACCGGTGTCCTGGTCCCTGTACCCGATATCGGTGGTCTACTATTTTTTATATTTTTAAATGTATTTTTATTTCTTTTGTAATATATTTAAAAATGTAATTAATATGTATATATAATTTAATAATAATAAATGTTTATTCTCTTTTCACAAATGGATGCCTTAACAAAATAATACAGCAGTGAGTTAGCTTCTTAAATCCACATTTGTAAAAGACTGGGGCCTGATGTAGCTTAAGAAAAAGAAACCTGTGTTACAGGTCACCAGGCCCTCCGCGTGGTAAGAATAGGAGATAGACAATACACCGTGTGAGAAAATTAACAATTAAAGAAACTCAGACTATTACAATACTAAAAAGAAAACAAATAGGATAAACATTTGTTACTTGAAGAAAGCAGAATAAAAATGAAAATAAATTGTGTATGTGTGTGTGGGTGTGTCTCTCTCTCTGCGTGTGAGTGTAGAATAGTTAGCCCCCTCTACATTTTTCTAGCTGGACTCTGTGGTTGGCTGGGGAATATGACGGGCTAATCAATAGCCAATCGCAGCTTAGCTAAACAGAGAGCTAAACCGAGACAGAGGGAAATGTCGGGCATCAATCTCTCTCGTTGTAGGTATCGCTTCTACTTACAGGCAGCTGTAGCCCGTGTGTCTCTATTATTATATCTTTATGATTTTAAATAAGTATCCAAACCTTCTTGGCAATTTTATGCCAACATTTTTGATGTATGTTCATTTTTTTTAATTTTAAAGCGAAATGTAACGAAACTATTCACCTCAACAAAGGTCCAAGCCCGGCAGTAGCCTTCAGCAAGGTGGGAGACCCAGCAGAACTGCCGCTGGCTACTTCGCAAAGAATACGAGGCACGCATTGCTTATCGTCAAACAGGGCTATGGAGGTCAAAGCCTCGGCTACCGCTGATACCGCTTGCTGGGTTAAGGATTTGGGACGCCGCTGCAGAGGTCCTGAAAGGTAAAACAAAGAAAACTATGTAAATATTTTTTTTGGATATCTGACACACAACGCCTTCTATTTTCAAACTAAGCAGAGCTTATACTATGGAAGTTAAATTGACTGATAGAATACTTGTATTTTTTTTTTTAAATTGTTGTTGTTTTTTTTTTCTAAATATGCATGATATTATACATAGAAAACACCCAAAATCCCAAATAAATATTTGCAGATCCTACAAACAATTGGTCCGACCTGGGAATCGAACCCGTGACAGCAAAACAGTCGCATATGATACTACTACGACCAGTCATGCATATATTATAATAATGTATGCGGCGCAGCGAGTGAGGATTCGTTTGCTTAGTCACTTGACGTAGGTTTGATTATTGTGCATATTTATTTGAAAGGGTCTGGGCACATATTTTTTTATTTATTAATTTATATAAAACGGTATAGATTCCCAATTTGGTTGTATTGTTATGTTTGTTACCTGAAAACTCTGAAATCAGTCATTGTGAACAGATTTGGAAAATTATTTTTTTTGAAATGTTATACTTACGGTTATGGTTTGACTCTACGGATGGCGTAGTAGTTTGAGCTACTACGCTAAGTGTTGTGGGTTCGATCCCCACATGGGAAGACACTTTGTGTGATCCACAAACTGTTGTTCTGAGTCTGGGTGGTCTTTATGTCCATTTTATGTATGTTTGCTAAGTCCCCCGCCACACAGGATATATTCCTAATGCGAGACTAGTCTTTGAAATAAAAAAAAACTTCCCGTTTGGTCCCATTCAAATTTGAAGAAAAAACCACCCCCAAGGGTGAAAGAAGGCTATTAATTTCTCTATCTTCCTATCTACATACTATAATACATCCTTTACGGGGGACTTAACAAACATACATGAAACGGACACGAAGAGCGCCAAGACAACAACAATTTGTTGTGTCCCATGTAGAGATCGAACCCACAACACTCGGCGTAGTAGGTAGCGGCGAGGTGACCGTTTAAACTCATACGCCATTCGTGCAGTAATTATTACGCTACCGTACTTATGAGCATTCCCCATAACGTAACGGGTGAAACAGTAAAAATATTTATAACATGTAAGTACATCTACGAATATGTGAAGTGGGTATCCTTGTCCCATCAATCGAAGCTTACACCGCGTTACCCGCCAGACCTTTCACCTAAGCATGTATAGTTGATCAGACGGCTGACCAGCAGAGTTGTTGACCGCGACCCGTGGTGCTATTGTCAAGCGATAAGTATCTGATGCAAAGATAATACAAGTTATGGACCTGAATGACAACAAAAATCCTTAATAAGAAGTGCTGTTAATGCGAATGTAAGTTGCTTTGTTTGTTACGGTTTTACGATTCGATACGATCTGCATTAAATTTTACATACGAACAGATAATTGTACTGAAAATAATTTATTAACATGACATATTACACATAGGTTCGTCTGATCCCACACTTGGCCTATACTATGATAACCGGACTGCTGATAAACATACATACTTATATATATATTTCTAAATACGTGCATATTACAACTAAATTATACCTAGACATAGAACAAATGATCGTGCTCATCACACAATATTTGTCCTGGGTGGGATTCGAACCTACGACCTCTGACTTGGCAGCCTGGATCTCTAACCACTAGACCCACAGGCCTGTCAATAATAATTATTATTTGATACGCCTAATATAACTGTCTGGTCCCAAACTAGGCAGAGCCCTAACTATTTATTTTTTCTTACTACTTTTATTGTTTTACTACTCAGCAAAAAGCCACCATCATAGAAAACTGCTGATAAACATATCACAGATAAATTATAGCCAAATTGCCGTATGATGATGGATTAAGAATACAGAGTGTCACAACCCCTATTCATCCCGTGGGTGTCGTAAGAGACGAGCCAAGTCGGAAGATGAAGAAAAGTACGCAGGACAACAGCACTGAAAAATAAGGAAAACTCGAAACAAACCTTAAGGCCAGAGGGGTTGGTATAGACCAACCCGTCTGGCCAGTGTTATATAGTAGGCCAAAACCTCCTCTCTAGGGAGAGGCCTGTGTCCAGCAGTGGACTAGTTAAGGCTGTTGATGATGATGACATAGCCAAATACAGAACAAATGATCTGCTTATCACACTATATTCTTTGTCGACGTGGACTTATGGCTCTTCATTAAGAACTACTGCAGAAAAAAGTACTCTTTCCGAAAAATGCTTGAATTAATTTGAGAAAATATACATCACTGTAAAATAAATAATATATCCTCTTAATAAGTCAGAAAATAATTGAGATTAATGCTGTTTCAAGTGGTGCTAACAGGCGATCATAATTGTTTGGTTCTTTAATGTGATATTGAACTTTAAACAAATTTATTGTTTTGCAATTTATATAAATTAGAAATTAAGACAAGATAATTATGCTGACTGTGGTGTCACCGTGGTGTAAGGGACGTCATAACGAATACTGAATTAGTGTATTCAGACCATCATTCTGAGTCGAAAATCATTGGAATATTGAGCCAGAAAATTAAAGGTTTTTATGCAATCAGTTGTCAAAGATTAAGGTTATTCCGCGTAGGTATCGCACAAAAGTAATAACTACATGTGTATTCCGTGCAAACAGTCTACGCAAAACTAACACAAAATGGCGGCCGGAGGGGAGGCCCCAAAAATTCCAATGATTTTCGATCGCGTTATTTAGATCCAAACTAATCTTAGCTCGACTCATGTAAGTTTAATCAAAATATTGTGAGAGAATATTAAAAATCAGCAACTGGATAACTTTTAGTGTCGGTAATGGGTTAGGGCCCGTCCCTTGTTTGTCATCCTTCATTTGATCAAGATGAATAAGTTATCTGACATAGAAACAGAGTTTGTTGATAATTTTCTACACAAATATTATAAAGAGAACATATTCGCTTGTGCGTTAACGGGCCTGTTGGTTTAAGTGGTTGACGATCTCGACTGCTGAGTTCGAGGTCGTGGGTTCCATTCCCAAACATAACTATAGTATAATGAGCGTGCTATTTATAAAACATGTGTGTTTAGAAGTATTTTTTAAAATGTTTTTTTTAGAAATATACGCGCTCGGTCGGCAGTGGTCTTGTCCTGTGTTACGTAAGTGCCGGGCAATATGTAAACGTTCTGTCTACTTCGGTGATAAAGAAGTAAGTGTATGTTCGTGTGCATGTTGTCGATAAACTCTAAAGGAACACAAGCACCTTTAAATTTCATCATCATCATCATCAACAGCCTATACTAGTCCACTGCTGGACATAGGCCTCTCCTTAGAAAGGAGGTTTTGGCCTTTAAATTTATTAATACTTATATCAATTGTTTTACAAAAAAAAAAAAACGTAAATTCAAAGTTATTTATTGTATTATATTGTGTATTAAGATTTAAAACTACTCACCAGCATATCCTGGATATCCGGGGTTATGTATATACTGGCCGTATTGTGAATTTGGATAAGCATGTAAACTGTATTGCCCATTTCCTGGATACCCGGTATTCTGCAGATATCCTGTAAAGACAGACGAAGCTTGTCCACCAGAAGCTCCTACAGGATATTGGGCAGTGTATTTTGTATTAAGTTGATTTGTCTGATCGTTTTGACCTGGATTCACTGGGTTTTTAAGTGGACGAGAGGGCCCTATAGCTTGATATCCTGGATAGAGTCCATAACCTTGAAAAGAGCCTCCATATCCAGGCTGGTATAGTGAGGAGCCTGGCTGTTTCCCAAGATATCGATTGCCTGGGTGATTGAAGGGAACGGTAGGAGAAATAGGGACATTATTGTCTAGTAATGGAGAGACTCTTTGTTTTCGGCTCGATTTCCTCTTTTTCTTTCTAACTGGCTCTCTTTTTTCTGTTTTATTATTATCTTCGAAAATTACACGTCCACCAGCATTACTTTCTGTTCCACTGTTTATGGTGTCTCTATACTCATTAATTTCCCTTTCATCAACTCTTTTTTCTTCGTCATTGTCATACGATTGCTCATCGTTATAAAAAGGCTTTACTCTTGTATATTTTTTTAAGTTTCCATCACCACCATGAGTTTTTTCATTTCCTGGATTGTCAGAATCAATTGGGAAGAAGTGAGATTCATCTGAAATATATTTTTTATTATTATATATTTATTTATTTAAGATTCATGCTGTCATTGTATTCTAGAAAATGAATCTTATTTGAATTAATATAATTTTATTTCTGAGTAATAAAAAATAGATTAAGATTAAATAAAATGGTTAACACCAAATAAAACTTTTATGTACTATTGTTATAAAGTTTAAAATTGATTATAATGCAACTGACATATGCCGACACTTATGGACCTTTACCTCAGGAGTCAGGAGTCACAAGAGTGTGGTACCGGCCGTTGACTTTGGCTCTTTTCTCGATGATTAAATTCTAAATGTCGTTCATTAAATTTTACTTTAAATTTGCTTTCTATTTACAGAAACTAACTTACTTGGTAGTTTAGTAGGAAAATCATCTTCAAACTTTACAACACCGCTATTTTTAGAGTAATCATCACGAGTTCTGTATTTATCTTCGTGTGACAAATTTAAATGGCTTGGATTTTCTTCTGGGTAATCTCTGAAAATATAAATCATAGAGTACATATATATAAAACACCATACTGCGCTTTTTGATCCTCTCCCCGCGTTTTTGTCACAGGTGGTATTTTGTGGCCGTGGTGCTTCCCTGTTTAAAAGGGTGTATGCCTATTTTACTTCATTTTGTCTCCCGCTTTGCTAAGGAGGGAAGTGGATTTACTGTATTTCCAACTCCTCCAATTTTCTTCTGATTAATTTCGTTGCGGGTTCCAAGACAGTTTAATTTCTTCCTGGGACTTCCCGAGTGTCATAACTTGGTGTGTTCGTGGGTCACTGCTGTGGATCCTGGTGTACAGGAGTTACAGTGGTGGGCGTGTGGGTGGGATTAGTCCCAATAAAAAAAAAAAAAAGGTGGTAATTTGTCGCATACCCGTCCCTGGCTTTGTCATTATTTTTGTAAGTTTTCGACTGACTTTTATTTTAGGGAAATAAGTATTAGTTTTTGCTAAAAAGTAGGTTAGCAAAAATACCGTTAACAAGGTTTCTACATTACTATCGGGCTTTAGTCGGCAGCTGTAGATTATAACCTACTGCACAATTTCTTAAAAGAATATTTGTGTTAATAGTCATTGCTCAAATATTATTAGTATATTAGGGTAATGTTGCATAACTTGATACCTTCTTTAAACAGATTATTTAATAAAACAAAAATCTACAGTAAGTAGGACTCTAGTGTCCATTTTACGCCAGAATTCCTTTCGGTACCATTCTAAAGACGATCTAAACTCCAAGTCGAATAGATTAAAACCACTTATTAATTACGGGACCTATGGCCGGGATTAGGGTACACGGATTAGTATAGACGCCGCGGTAAGCCTCCTGTCCGAAAACGGAGAAATTATGATTGCTATTACTAAATTCCAAGGCACTCGATCTTAAAGCAGTTCACTTAGGACCCATAATGTTTTTGGTACTTCCCTATTTAATAGCTAGTATGCCTATTTTTACTTCTATTTTGTCTCCCGCTTATCTAAGAAGAGAAGTGAATTTATTATATTTCCAACTCCTCCAATTCACTTCTGATTAAATTCGTTACGGGTCTGAAGACAGTTTCACTTTTCCTGGGGCTTCCCGAGTGTCATAACTTGGAAAACAAGAGTAACAATAGGGGGCGTGTGGGAGGGATTAGTCCTATTAGATGTCTTAAGGCATTTTATCTTCCACTTTTAAAAGCGGATAAAATTGCAAAGGATTATTTTTTTACTTCATAACACATACTTTATCACATCTATGTGTTGATGGATTAAGATTTTTTTTTATTTTTTTTTTTTAAAAGAAAACTCCCGCATTAGGAATAAATCCTGTGTCGCGGGGGACTTTACAAACATACATGAAACGGACACAAAGAACACCCAGACTCAGAACAACAATTTGTGGATCACACAAAGTGTCGTCCCATGTGGGGTTAGAACCCACAACACTCGGCGTAGTAGGAAGCGGCGATTACAGAATGTCACCACCCCTATTCATCCCGTGGGTGTCGTAAGAGCCGACTAATGGAGCAAACGCAAGACAACAGCACTGCAAAGAGAAGGAAAACTTGAAACAAACGCCAGCGTGGTATAGTAGGCCAAAACCTCCTTTCTAAGGAGAGGTCTATGTCCAGCAGTGGACTGTACAGGCTGTTGATGATTGATGATGATGACTTTATAAAGAAAAAACTTACGAGGATAGTTGCCGCGAATGTTGATTTGTCACCATATTGTCTTCATCATTCTTCTGGAATGCGGTTACACAAAACTGTGTTAGCACGTATAATATAATTACTGTTTGAAAGTATGAATTCATGTTTTTGTATCTGAAAAATAAAAGTTTTGAGTTAAAATTATGATACCTTGGTCTTAAGTATAAGCTGACAAGGGAAACAATTGTTTTCAATATTATATGTCATCAGTTCCATACACAATATTAATAGTGCTGAGGAACGGGAAGAAAACAGAATGTCACTACCCCAATTCATCCCGTGGGTGTCGTAAGAGCCAAGTAAGGGCGCAAAACAACGCAGGACACCAGCACTGCAAAAAGAAGGAAAACTTGACACAAACCCTATACCAACCCGTCTGGCCAGCGTGCTATAGTATGCCAAAACCTCCTTTCTAAGGAGATTGATGTGATGTGAGGAACGGGTGTAATGTCCCTCCAACACAAAGGGAGGATCCTCCGACCATGCGAGGTGATCATGTTTGGCCGGCCTCGGCGCTACTGTTGATGTTGGGAAGTTGTATATATGCTAATCGGCGAGAGAATTCTTCATATCGTGATACAAGATTAGCAGTTACTTTATAGTTTGGTGTGTCTTCGATAGATGGCGCTGTAGTATGTTTGTTCGTTTTATGTGGAAGTCGCCACAGTGCTATCATTTTTTAATCTTACCGGATAGATGGCAGTAGTTTCGTACCCTATTACCTGGGATTTAATATGTATCGAGTATGTGTAACATGAAATATGTTAAACTAGCTTTACTCCGCTGATTTCCTCTCGTCAATATCGATTACTTTGATAAAGAGTAGCTTATGTCCTATTCTAGACTATAGTCTGTGTATCAAAATTCATCCAGGTCTGTTCAGCCGTTCTGGTATTATTTAGTAATAAACATCTAACCATCCATTCAGAAATTCGCATTTATAATATTAGTGTGGATGCTATACATTTTCTAAACCTCTGTTTGTAAACACTCGTAAGTATATAGGTACTTTATAGAATAATTAACTTATGGAATAAGTATAACCGACTTAAATGCCACCTTAGAATATTTACTTGACATTGTAATTGGGATCAACATAGCCAAAGTTCAAAAATGGCGAAGACGTTCCATAACATACATATTTTTATTTTATTTATGTTATTTATTTATTTAGGACAACATACAATATTACATAGTTTACAAACATGTTTTACAAATATTTGCTGAGTGTTGTTTTACTTACAAGTTGCCACAGCATGGTAAGGGACAGTTTCATCATTCATTGAATTAGTTAATTTTACTTCTTTGAAAGAAAACTGTGTATAATGAAATAAGTTTTATATAATTATATTCTACATAATATGTAATTATTGTATACTTTATTAGACAGATCTTATTACAGATCAGTAAATAGTTATTTCTTTTTCGTTTCTCAATCTACATTTAAATAAAAGTAGAAAAGCAATATGTATATTTTACAGTTGCCATAACATTTCCATCAGGCGCTTTTCACAGCAAAGTACTGAAAATCACACAGGTGTGGTCTAAGAGTTATAGTAGGGGAGCCCTAGAAAGGATTTCGGGATTCGCTCGAGCGTGTCAGATTATGATAGGAGAAATACCTTACACCCAGTTGAGTACCTCCACCAAACATGAGCCCTACACATAAGACCAAGATTTTTGATCAGATTTTTGGCTAGTATGAGAGGAACATCAAACTGAACCAAATGTATAAAATCTAACACGCTCGGGTATTTCGAACTGGCGATTTTTTGAAATAGTTTGCATTTTCGATAATTCGCTACTAGCTTGTGGCACTTTAAAATTGTCAGACCTTTAAATGGGAACATTTAACTACACAACAACTAACATATTCCCAAAGTATCTGATGCGTCCGAATATTTTCTTTTTCGATTTTATCCCCTACATTTTTGAAAACCTGTAGAAGCTTTTGCCTCCGCTGAAAGTGGATACATTATAAAACTTTTATTTATTCTATTATCTAATTATCTAATTCAAATGCAAGAGGTCCCCATGACACTCTAGTAAATCCACATTCAGAATCATAGGCTCCCCTACTATCAGAGGTGTGCTTAGCAGAACACTAAAAATGTTTGAATACTTACAATTTAAATGGAGAAGAAGCAAATCTAAGAGTTTTTTTAAATTTGTTACAATTTATAAGGTTTCAAATTATGTAAAACGCAGCTACAGCAACTACTGCGCAGAGTGTTGTGGGTTCGATCCCTACATGGGGCAACACTTTGTGTGATCCACAAATTGTTGTTCTGAGGCTGGGTGTCTTTTGTGTCCGTTTCATGTATGTTTGTAAAGTCCCCGCGACACAGGATTTATTCCTAGTGCAGGAGTTCTCTTTATAAACAAAAAACAGGGGTTTCTCTCAGAAAACCCTGTTTTTATTTACAAAAAAAATGTATTAACCAACACTGATGACGGTATACCTACGGCCATTTTCCCCTTAAATATTCATCCTTTTTTAAAAAGCTCCTTTCATAGATAATGATGAAAGATGTATGTATGTGTATATATTTATGACGACTAGCTGATGCCAACGACTTCGTTCGCGTGGAATTTGAGAAGCGCTGCCTTAATGAGTTCGATTCACGGACCAGGCAAAATTTTATAGGGTTTTTCGGGGTTTATTTGGTAGTAAAATATTATCAAAATCGGTCTAACCGCTTTGAAGATTACCCGGAATAAACAGACAGACAGAAAGACAGACAGACAGACAAAAAATATTTAAACTGGCTTTTATATATATACTAGACATAGGGATCGCGCAAATAACCGTGTAAGCATGAAAAACAACCTATTATTTTGACATTTCAAACAGACACTTTAATTTTATTTATTTGTATATATATTTTAACAGGTTGTAGTAATTTAAATATCTGACATAATCTCTTTAAAAAAGTATCACTAATGAAAAACTGATATCACGAAAATCTTGGTCTATGCATTATTATTATTTAGTACAAACAGTCCTTTTTTACACTTTTAAATTACAGAGGAATATCTAATTTTTTTTTTAGTTACTTACTTGTAAGTCCTGCCCAAGTACACCACTACCTTCGAATAGTCTCACTGACAAAATGACCATTTCTTAAAATTTCTCCCACACAAAGGAAAGTTGTCTGTTTGTCTAATAAGGAGTGCCTTACGCCATACTTCTGTGTAATATCCTTGTACATAAACGTCTTTTGATAATTTGACGTCATTCATTCATTCAAAATGATGGTAGAAAAGTTAAGAGGCTTTTGACATATGATATAACGTTTCTTCGTACGCCACTCTAAGGTTGACATACAGATACATACTCGTACCTACAGTCACGTAATATCCTTATTGAAATAGACAAATAACCTGACACATCTCTGTCCGCCTGATCCCAAACAAGGCAGACCCTGTACTATGCTAACCAGAATGCTGCTAATAATATATAATAGTTATGTATTTCTAAATACACACATATTATAGATAGGTATATTATACCCAAACATGGAAGAAATGATCGCGCTCATCACACTCTTGTTTGTCATGGGTGGGAATTCCATTAACGCTGGTTTTGGATATTTTTGCGCCCACAAGGGTCTGAGCCCTGTGTACTCTTGACGCCCGTCTAGTCACGGCACTGATGGTTATAAACCATTAACATCTAATGTGGCTAATTAATTTTGAAGACAAAAATATTCTCTTCTTTGATAAAGTTGTTAGAATTTGAACTGCTCATTGAGACCTATTACCATTCTCTTACCAAGTTACTCAACTTTTTACCAAGACATTCACAGTGACCTTGCATTAGCTGGTTTCATCACGATGCAGGTCAATATCGATATTGATCGGATAACGAGCATTGCCCAACACTATCGACACTTTGACAGATGCTGTTTAATTGACAGATAAATTAGGCAAGTTTGGACGTCAACTTGGAGAACCATAGACTTATTTTGAGTAGATGAGAGGTTTTAAATATAGCTTTTAACAGTACTTATATTTTGTTGGCTTGGTAGTAGAGGCTTGAAATCATAACAAACTTATAGCCCTTTCTTTAAAAATCATGTCTAAGCAGGACTTCGTATGTTATTGGCCAAAATATTAAGCTTGTAGAAACTTGTGGTATGACGCAATTATTGTAAATCCTTCTAAGGTTTATACAAATTAGGATGAAGAAGAGAAAGCGACTTCCATATGTGTACCAGCTTTATTTATGCTTCTGTCCTTTTATACATGTGCTGGATTATTCACCATCTGCTTAAAATCCTAGAGCAAATTTTTGATATTTTACTAAACCAGAGAACAGGACATGCATTAATACAGCATCATCCGTGTAGTGACGGTATCCGTGTGGTGACGTAGGAGCCGCCTAAGGAAGCAAACTACGCAGGACAAAAGCACTGCAAAGATAAGGAAAACTTGAAACAAACCCTTTACCAACCCGTCTGGCCAGCGTGGTATAGTAGGCCAAAACCTCCTTTCTAAGGAGAGGCCTATGTCCAGCAGTGGACTAGTACAGGCTGTTGATGATGATGATGATGTGTCGTAAGAACCGACTAAGGGGGCAAACTACGCTACTAGCAAAATACTACAACAACACTGCACAAAGCTATGAAAAAGCTTTAAAATAAAAAGGTTATAAAAGTTTTTCCATTGTTAGACCGCCTTACGTAGACCGCCTTACGTTATATAGGAAGTCTCTCGAACTTTTTTAATAGAATTAGTCACCTATATATATTTTTTTCGGTTTGATCATTTTAAAAAAAACCGGTCAGGTACGAGTCGAACTCGTGCGCCGAGGGTTCCGTACCTACCCAGATTTTACGTAGATTTTTACGAAAATTTGTATGTACCAAAATTTTTCTTAATTTTCTACTTTTTTATTTTTAGGAATTATTCCTTTATTTGTGCTGTAAGATGTTTCTTTTAGCCAAATTTCGTGATTCTAGGTCAACGGGAACAACCATATAGGTTCCGACCTATAGGGTACTTCCGGTTGACTTAGAATTGTCAATTTTGGTTAAAAGCAATATCTTACAGCACAAATAAAGAGAAAATTTTCGATTGGGTTCATCTCATAGTTTCATCGTGTTGACTCAGGGCCTTGATTTTTATACACCTAATAGGGACCATAGTCCTCATTATCTGGTATAAATTTCAACTTGCTAGGTCTACCCGTTCCTGAGAAAATCGGTGGTGACACACAGACAGACGGACAAGAAAGTGATCTTATAAGGGTTCCTTTTTTACCTTTTAAGGTACGGAACCCTAAAAAGAAGTATTTACATGATTTTAAATTATTTTTTGTTAGAAAAAAAAATCCAACAGATGGCTAATGTCCTTTGTTACGATAATTCAAGATTAACAGTATTTGCCTATGTTTACAACTGTTTAAATGTGATGTACAGCCTTGAATACAATAATCTAGAACGAATAGCAGTTATAAATTAGTAGGTATATCATCTCTAAGGCCACGATTACTGACACGAGAATGGTTTTTACTTCTTGTTTTGGTATTCGTTCAAGGTGACGCCATATTAATCTCTTTATTATTTTATACCACTGTGCTGGTGTACATCTCGTCTAAAGTGACATTGGTACGTACGAAAAGCGACTACCACCGCTCATGAACGCCTGCAACTCAGGAGTCACAAACGCATGGCCGGTCTTTAAGGAAGGAATACGCTCTTTTCTAACAACATTTTGACAGCAACTTGCTTTATAGATTGTTTTTATCCATTTTTTGCTTCAGTTTTGTTATCTCACCACTGCAACTACAACGTGCCAAAGTGAAAAGCGGCAGGGTACAACTAGTTTCTTTAATAATTAGAAAAACCTGCGTAATGCACCAAACCATAATCAAAACACGTCTTCGCACATAGTTTCGCGTCGTTTTGTTTCATTTAGTTTCAGGCGCCAATGCTAATACAGCGATTTCTGAATTACGGTTTTAAGGTTCACTGCCAATAAATATGTCACTATATTCATAAAAAATCTGTATACGATCTGTGTCCATAATAATCTCTAAGTAATAATAAGTAATCAGTAATATTTTTAAAAAAGATTTTGTTCTTCTATCTACTTCAACTTGAAACACACCCTTTTTTTTTTTTTTTACGTGTGGAAATCCCCTCGGACCGTCACCCCACCGGGGTTTGCGGCGGGGTGGTGTGTCGGACTCGAACCGACTAAAACCACACGGTGTGCCACTCTGCGCCTGTAGTAGGAGGGATCCGGGAACAGCTGTTATTAAGACATCCGGACCCCTCCTAGCGCCGGCCCGCTCCTGTTGCGGGCCCCCATCTCAAAATTTTCCTCTCTTTAGGCGACGTCCGGCACACGCAGACGCCGCCCCCTCGCGGCTGGCCAAACTAATGCGGGTGGAGAGGAAACCCACCCCGTCCACCCGCGTACCAACTTAACAGAAGATAAAAATATTTAAAAATGACACGGTCGACGCCAAATGTAGTTAATGAATTAAGTAATAATTAGATTCCTCAATAATATTATAAAATATAATGTATCTCACACATCTCACACATGGCCGTCAGATCCCAAACTAGGCAGAGCCTGTACTATGGTAACCAAACTGCTGATAAACATACTTATATATTTTTTAAATACATACATATTATAGATAAATTACACCCAGACACAGAACAAATGACCGTGCTCATCACACAATATTTGTCCTGAGTGGGAATCGAACCTCCGGTTTTTCGGTCAGGGTCACTAACCACTAGACCAACAGGCTCGTCAACAATGTTTTTGCTGTAGAGAAACTACCTTAAGATTTGCGAGACTCGCATTTTTTTGTCTGTTATGTTTTTGATGTTTAGATTTAGGTTAGATTTCTTCTTCTTAATATTTTCTCACTCAAACGACGTTTTTTGATGTTTCGTGTTAGTGATATCATCACTAGTTAACAACAAGTTTCTTGAATAGCTATTAGATTCCGAAACAATACCAATTTGAAAATTTTAATGAGTTTATTAAAAATTAGTAAATCTAAGTGCCGGATTAGTCATAGAACTATAAGATAGAACATATAATACATATCTAATATATTATCTGTGTAGATTAATAGAACCCCTGTCCATCCCCTTTTTTTTTTTTTTTTTTTGTTCCGTGCGGAAATCCCCTCGGATACCACCTGTCGGTGGCATGTCGGACTCGAACCGACTAAAACCGCACGCCGTCTCTGGTACTAATAGCCGGGGAACCAGGTATACCCTAGAAAGGAAGTCCCTGGTACCCCGACATACCTCGGGTCGTTCTGCGACCTCCGGCGCCTGAGTCGCCTGCGGTACCTGGCCCGTTCCCGGGCCTGGCGGGCCGGGAGAGTCCTAAACCTCTCCCAGTCCCGCTACGCCGTCTCCTTCGCGAGCATAACTTGCTCGCAGAAGGAGAAAGCAGAGTTCCACGCACTCTCGCTCCGCACGATAGCCGCAATCAGGCTATCGAGCGAGAGAACTCCCATTCCGATCCTGTTCATCCCGTGGGTGTCGTAAGAGAGAACAAACTACAAAGGACAACAGCACTGCAAAGAGAAGGAAAACTCGGAACAAACACTCAACTATTAACAAGTCACTCTCACAATTAAGAAGAATATAATGATACATCTTTTGTTTTCTGAAATCCCCTCGGATACCACCCACCGGTGGTTATGTCGGACACGAACCGACCACCTCTCCGTCTCGGGTACCAGTTACCGGGGAACCAGGCGTACTCTAGGAAGGAAAGCCCTGATACCCCGACGTACCTCGAGCCATCTACGACGTGTAAATGACCCCCTCCTATGTGGGAACCGCTATGTCCCCTTTGTGCTCCTAAAATCCTCCGTCTGCCACTGCCTCGCACACCAAAATCCATAAAGCCGTACAGGCTACAGAGCGTGAAGCATACATGCGTACACTAGTAAGACAACCCTCTTTCTGGCGTAGTCGGATAAAAAAAGGAAATCTGTTAAAACAGAGTGTCCTACGGGTTTTTGCCTGTTCTTCTCCAAAAGATCTACTTATTGGAAAGGTACACTTACATCCCGCCTCTCAAAAAGCATTCACTTTGTTATTGTGATCGTCAAAACATATGTTGGCTTACAAACAA